AAGGACATAGTTAATATTCGAACTTCATCTACACGCAAATCAAGGCTAACAAAGTCTAGTACCATAACATACTCCACATCAAGGATAGTACATTATTTCAAATTACAAGAAAAGGAAGGCAAACTTTTGCAAAAAAATAAAATAAAGTAATCAGATATCTATTTGACACCTTTACCTAACAGATCAACAAATAGAAGGTAATATAACGAAGCAAATTTAGGATAATCCAATGGTGGAAGATAGTAAGAAAACTATTACCTGAATTGGATCAGTGCGAAGGAAGTTCCTCTGAACTCTGCGTCCATCTGGAAAACGGACTCCAACCCTGCAAAGCAGGTTTCGATCACCCTTGGGTTCTTCAGGTAAAGGTGGATAAGCAGGCTTCTTCATTAAGCATGTTTCCTTTTTCTCTGAAATGGCTTCGTCCACCTCTTTCAAAGCACCTTCATCACTTCCCTTAAAGCCCTCCATAGAAGCTGCCAATGCTTGTTGAAATGCATCTTCTTCTTCATTGCTTTCATCTGCATAAAGAGCCATCTACATTTAATTGTCATTTAATTACGCTGTTACAATGACGTTCTATAAAGAAAACTAGATGAGGGAAGGGAAAAAGAGAAAAAAACAGACAACATCAGGTGACAAAAGACAACTCAACACATAGATTTGTATTTCTTTGAAGAATAAGAAAACTCACTGTTTGGCATGGGTTAGAAAGATTACTCTTAGGTTAACTAACCGCAGGTATATTTGATTACATCTAATCATTTACTTCACTCAAGACAAGTAAAAAGGAACAATGGAGACATATAAGAATCTCCAGATACAATTTAAAAACGATATACAGGTCAGAAGACTGGTAGGTACATTTTTTTGTCTGATTTTCTGAAAAGGGTTGAAAGATCACAGACATAAGCAGAAAGTAACATCAAATAATCATATCAATGTGTTACATATCTGTTAAAGCATTTGTAGTGACGCATCCAGTGCCTTTTATTCTTGGCAATAACAATAGCTAGACCAAAATGTTTTAAGTGGTATACCTTATCAGATGAATGGATCGTGCAAAATCATAAAGGTCCAGGACTCCAGGGATTACATAGAATTCTCTCTTTTCTTAGTTGTACATAGAGTGGCACAATAATGTGAACACTGATATGCATGCACACACTTTTTTTCTATGAGATACTATGGGAAGGTTGTTATAATTACATACAAAGATCCCTTTCTCTCAAGATCATATATATATATGTGTGTGTGTGTGTGTGTTGTAGAGATGACGTTTTAAAAGTGAATTGCACAGATTTAGTCTCTTCGGTAAATGTTGTGTAAATACTTTTGGTCTCTTTTATAAGTTAGTTTGTTGCTGCTGTATTTCGAGGTCTATGAAACTATAGGATTTGCAAATAAACAATGACAGTCAGTCTGTAAAAATTAACCCATTGGCACATTGTTAGAAGTTGACACAAACCATGTAGCAAGGATATTCAGTAGTTAAATTTTTCATATTTTAGTATTTAACACACTACAAAACAT